ATAAGACTTAATGCATCTATATAAGCAATCAATATTTTAGACATTAAATCTTCACGAGAAATTTTTTCACTATCTAAGGAAGGTAGTTCAGAATTGGTAGGATCGGGTTTCTGTCTGGCATCAATATCAAGTATTGGGCAAGAGGTTGATTTCTGTCAATATACTCATAGGAATCAAGTATTTTATAAACTTCGGAAGGATGTTCAACTAATGTAAAGCCTTTTTCTTCTATCTGGATAATATATTGAAAATAAATCTCTTCAGGATGGTATACTTCTAAAAGTGCGGTATCATTTTTATTATTGGATGAAAGCAAATATTTATAATACATATGATTTCTATGGCCAGGTTTATAGTTAAGATCTGTTAAATCTATGAAAAGCTTTTTTGCTTTATTATATTCAGCCAACTTTTGATTTAGATACTGTTGATGTAATGATTCACATAAACATTTTTTTGCTTCACTAGACAAACTCATTTGATTGATTTGTATATATGCATTGTTTGATCTGACAAAAAGTATATATAGTAATCTTGAATTTGTTTATATAAATATTGTTACAAAGAGTTTAATTTGAAAAATAATTATTTCATATATGCAAATTTGAAAGTTATTAATTATTGATATTAGCATGGGATTTTATTCTTGTCTATATACTTTTATTGATGGACATATTTGTAGAAAGGGTTGCTATCGTCAAGAAGGATGTACTCTTCATTGGAAAATTCGACCATGTACTCTATGTGGTGAATGTGGTATACTAACTACCTCTTCATATGGCATGTGTGTGAAATATTTAGGAAAATATCGTAGAAGAGTCAATTATCTACAAAAAAAACAGGATGAATTACGTGCAAAAATTGCTATATTTGAGAATCATATACCTGACTTATCTGATTCTATGCATGAAGTATAATTATATAGCTCAACATCCGATAAGCCTATAGGTATACATAACCTCTTTTTTCTGGGTATAGGATGAAAAAGCATAATTAATTTCGAATTGAAAAAAATAAGTAAGTTAATGTATAATCACATTCTACTTATCGATATAGATTATTTACATACCTATCATGGCAACTGCCAAAAAACCCAAAAGCCCAAAACTAATAGTTTTACCTCTATTTTGGATCAAATCCTAAAAAAATATAACTTATCTACTGAATCTGATCTATCTCAATTATGTGCCTATGCTAATGAGCTTGGTGATATGCTTCCGGATTGGAAGGCTCGTAAAGATGTGAAAAAGGCACTCTGTCGGTGCCTATTTAAAGAAAATCAAATAGAAGCTCTTGTACCAGACAAAAGGAGAAAAAGCTTACTATCAAGGAAAGAGCTTGATATTGTGCAAAAACTAGAGATGTGTGAGATATTTACTTACATGTTTTAGACTTAGCTGAGACAAAAAATCATACTGATAAGGAGATTGTAATGGCCAGTTCCTGTGTTTTGCAATTTCGTAGAGAGTTAGCAGAAGCTGGAGTTGATTCCGAGCGAATTGATACATATGCTAAATTGTCAGAAGTTACTCAAGCTTCTAACGAAATTCAAAAGAGGCAACTCAAACAGCAATTATCCAATCCACCTAAAACTCCCAAACACTTTTTCTTAGAGGAAGGACTTAGAAGAATTCAAAATATCAATACTACTAAAATTCCTATTATGCAAGATCTTGCAGATGTAATTATGATGTTGAGCATGAGACCTGCCAAAGTTGCTACTCTTCATATTATCCATTATGAACCTGGTGAATTGAATCCTTCTGAATGGTTCAAACCTGGTTATTTTTGGTATTGTACCGGGTATATTAAAAATAAAGAAGAAACAAAAAATAATCCTGAACCTCAGCAATTTCTATCCATGGAAAAGAATCCAGAACGTGCAAAAGAATTGCTTACCTGAATCCAAGATGCAATAGCAACTAGAAAATTATGCAATCCTGTCTATAGTATTAATGGAAAACGCAGTACAGGAGTATTTAGTAAATTTTTAAAACCATATGATATTACAGCCAAAAGATTAAGAAAAATCAAAGGTAAATATGCTTCTAAAGTTTATGGTGGTCAAAATCCAACATCGCAACATCTTGAATTCCTCAGCAGAATTGCAATGAGACATAAGATAGACCGTTTTGATTCTGGAAAGTATTATGC